GACTTGTTAAAATAGTCATTTTAGGTTTGTTCTTTCACATTCTGGAAGCTGTTGAATGTGTACCTTAGCTTAAAGGTTTGTCTCCTGAAAGTGCACCAACCCACTTCATGACCAAGGCCACTGAGTGTTATCATAGGTCCCTGTGGATGAACAGCTATCAAAGCAAGAGCCTACTTGCAGGGACTGGAAGGATCCAAAACTCCTGGGGGTGCCGTTCTGGTGTTCCTCCCAACACCACATGCACACTGCTTAGGAGGCAGTAAGATGGTAGAGGCAGGGGGTGGAGAAAGAGGCATCAGCCTGAGATCTCTTGCTTGTTCAGCTCTAATCACACCTTAAGGCAAGGGGAAGGAGGCTCTCCTCATGGGCAACAGAGATCCCCAGAGCATGTTAAAGGATTCAAGTGCAATTCCCCCCGGCTAGAACGGCTCCTCTCTACAAAATGTGCCCATCCTATAAGCTTGTTTACCCCTCTACCGCTTCTGCTCTTCCACGGTTTAAAATGGTGACCAGCCAATGTTGAGCCACTTCCTGTAATGTTAAATGCAGTCAAATAGTTGTGTGTGTAATTATAGTCATGGTGAGCTTGCATGGATTTGGGTATCCTGGTCATGGGATGTCAAGTCCCTGACTTGCGTTAAAAGCTAGTGACCCAGCTGATAGGGGAAGGTCAACACACTAATATTGCTTTGCCAAGGTAAGCCAACAAAGTAATGGACAAGACCTTTGGTTCACTTATGTATTTATGAATGGAAAAGTCAATGCAAATTTACTCATTTAAAAAAAACTCAGGTACAAATTACACATACATCATAAGACCACCCATCTTTGATTCACATGGACACCTTAGAGACTCAAATGACTCTCTGGAATAAACTTTTAGTAAAAGTACTCCAGGTAAAAGATTACAACAAATTGGAAGCATCTTGGATTTTTGAAAAAAAAAAGGATAATTCAATACATAAGTTTGTATGCATGCTTTTAAACAAATACTATAGTTTGAGGATGAGCAAGAGTCTAAACAAAGGTAGATGACCAGCACTATCAAACTTTTTGACCAGATTTTTAATGTTAGTCTAACATTGTTGTTAGTTTACCATGCTGCACTGAAGGAAAAAAAGAGAAATGGCACATTTTGAATCATGAGTCATTAAATATTATATACCCTACTTCCCCAGAATATTTAGGCTGGTCATAAAAATCAACAATGCGTAAGTAAATAAGCATAATCAGTAATAAAACAGTTGCTTGTTTTACAAACTCTGCAGAGACAAATGCTTACAGATGAACATTCAATCATACCATTTAAACAGTATGGCCTGAAAGGATGGGCACATCTTTTTTTTAAAAGAGAGCATTAAGACAACTGTTAACCTTTTAGTTACCCTTTGTAAATAATTATGGCATGATTGAATACAAGACCTGACCTGAAGAAAGTACTTTTAATCCGCATAGTGCATGATTGATTCGACATAGTTTCCGGGAAACAGGCCGGTCACTCGGTTGCACACACCTTCATACCAGCCGTCGTCATTCTTCTTTATAACATAAATGATTGCACCCTCCATGAATGACAGCTCATCATCCTTGTCCTTTGTGTAATCATATATGGCAACAACTGGAAATTGGAGACAAACCAAACAAATGAGTCTGGCATGAGCCAGTCTCGTCACACAGTTGCTGGGGGGGGGGGTCTACTCCCCCTTGCTGTTTGAATGATTTCAGAAATCTATCTTGCACATTAACCTGGTATTTAAGTTGAAGCTTCTGTGCACTCTTTGAGAAGCCATAGCTGAAAGGTTGAAGCATACATTTTGCAAGCAGAAGGACAGTCCTGGATATTTCCAGTTAAAAGGCACTCAGGAAACAAACCTGGGAAAGAGCTCACACCTAAAACCTTACATGGAATCAAAGTAGATGGTAAACTGGCTAGACCTATTCAGTTCATGACAATGTTATCTCTAGGCAATAGGAGTACCACCCCCACTTAACAATGCCATAACTTCTACCAACACTTAAGCACGTGTGTGTGTGTGTATACAGTCCCTACTGACAAAAGTACATGGAATACAGTACAGCTTCCTAATGGAGAAAAAGTATCCCCTGCCAACGGAATCAAAACATAGCTTCAGGTCAGGCAATTCCAAATCCTGTTTGATGCTCAATGTACAGCTGGCGCTAATAACAGCACAGCAGTATTTGCAACAATAAACATTCTTATTGAAAAGGATTAAATTAAATTAGTAAATTATTTAGGAGCGCAAGGCAGGTTTCCATGCTCTTTCCTTCAGGAGCAAGATATTGTCAGCCCAGTTTAAAATGAAAGGTGAATGTAAGTTCAGTTTTTATACTGTGCACTTGCATTATGAGCATCTTATAAAAGGCTGCTTTTCTTTGTAAAGGAAGATCTATGGCAGGGATGTCAAATATATGGCCCACGGGCCTTATCAGGCCCATAAGCAACTGGTGCGAAGGAAGGTAGGAGGCTGCCCGGGGGGGGGGGGGAGCGCAGTGCGCATGCTGCAGTTGCCTTGTCCCACCAATAGGTCTCTTTACTTGGTAATAGAAAGACGCTCTACGTTTGCCACTGTAGTCTCTATGGAGACTGCGTTGCTGTCTTAAAAACATACGCATGTGGCCGCTGTTGGCATGCTGGAGGAGGTGGGAGGTAGGTAGATTGGCTGGTTGGTTCCTCCTCACCCGACTCACCCCTTCAGAGTCCACCCAGTGCCCGCTCCCTCCCAGTTCCTTATCCAACAAGCCAGCAGCTCCCACTTGTCCGGGCGCATGTCCTCTTCAGTGCTCCCAGCACCCGCAGCCACTGACAAGCACCTCTTCTGCGGCTGCCTCCCCCCTCCCTTTCTTCCTCTGTTAAGCCTCGGCGAGAGCCAGGCACTGTCCTCGGCTGGCTGGGGAGAAGCAGCTCTTCTGCACTCATCTGGCTGCCTGGCCCTGGCCTCTGCCAACAAGCACCTCTTGGCAAGTGCCTCTCTCCTTCTCACTTTCTTCCTCTGGGGTGGGGAAGATGAGTTCCAGGTACAGCTCTTGGCTGGCCAGAGCCAAGCTGCCCTTTGAGGCTGACTTAACTGGCCAAGTGTTGTTTGAACTTTTCCTGTGAGCGGTGGGCTCACAACCCCTTCAACCCCGGTCCGGATAAGCCTGCCTCATTGCCCAGAGGAGAGAAGACAATGCCCCTGGGGGAGTGCAGACTGCCTTTCCCTGGCACCTGCATTCTCCCGTGCAATTGTTTAAAAAAGCAAAAAAGTGTGCACCCCCAGCATGTATCTAACACCTAGCATAGCACATACTACACCAGGACTTTGCATCACATCCCAGCCAGCATCTTTCTTTCCGTTTTTTTGGGGGGGAGGGGCTACCACCTGTCTTGAGAATTATGGAGAACTCACAACTTCCGGTTTATGGTGACACGCTGACAAGACGCACCACCCGGACCTCCTGGGGGTGCGATCTGCGCACTAGCGGTTGGGGGGGGCGATTGTTCGCTACCCCCCCCCCGGAGCCTTTGTGAAGGGCTCCTAGCCATGGGGCTTTTGAAGGGTGGCCTCTTCACCAGCGTAATGCTAGGGAATTGAGGTGCTCTTCCACCCTGACGGTCCTGCCGCTATGCGTCCGAATGGAACTAGAGCTGCTAACTGGGACAAGCGTTGGAGATAGAGCGTTTAAAACGCATTTTGAGCGAGGTCTTATGACCAACAATGAACAGTGAGTCGAGTGAAAGCGAAATACTGGCAACTTAAAAAGAAAGTGTCCCCCCCCGAGAACGGCGAGAAAAGCTAGTGGGGGAGGGGCCCCTCCCATACACATGAACTAAAAAGCGATTTAGCAAAGGGAGACGGAATTAAAAGCGTTGAAATCTATTTTAAGAACCTTATCAGAGCACGGATAGGCACTGGGTGAATTTCAGAGACTTTAGCAAGTTTTGACAAAAGTAAACAATCCATAAAAATGGCATGGAAAAAAGCGGAGAGAGAGAAACAGGCAAAAGTGAAAGCACCGGGGAGCATGAGCCCACGACCGGAAGAGACCACTGAGTTCTCTAAACTTTTGGTGGACTCTAAATCAGAACTTTCCAACTCAGCAGCTCCAACTGTCTGAAGACGGAGCAAACAGCTGAGAAAGTAAAGGAAATAGATGCCAACTCTAAAAAAGTCAAGAAAAAGGTGCAAATGCTGGAAAGGAAACAAGCTTCGGATGAATCTCAACTTTTACAACTGCAAATGGAGAAAGCTAACCTGGTCCTCCAATTCCAAGGGGTCCCTGAAGTAAAAGACGAGAATCTAAAACAACTTTTGAGCTATGCATTAGCTCCAGTTACAGATTTAAAAGCGGAATACCTCCTAAGTGAAATGGATGTGGTCTATAGGGCCTATTCTGTTTACATCAAGAAAAATAATCTGCCTGGGGAGATAGTGGTTAGATTCTCAAAGAGACACGTGACGGATTCTATCCTGAAAGCAACTACAGGAACACCCCTGAAAATTGGAGGCAACACCATCAGGATTTTAAAAGATATCCCATTTGAAATAAGGAAGAAGAGGAAGAAGTACAAAGACTTAATCCTTTTTTTACAAACAAAGAGCATTTCCTACAGATGGTTAACCCCTGAAGGAGTCATTTTCAAACTGCAGGACAAAAAAAAAATGACTCTGTTTCCAAAGTGCGCGAGTTCCTGAGATTGCAACTGGGAGAACCAGCTGAGGACTCTAAAGAAGAAGATGACAACAAATCTAGGGGTGAACTGGACTCTGAACTGGACTCTGTGCCTTCCAACAAGGATTCTGCTTCAGAAAAGGAGGCGGCTGCCCCTAAATGAGAATACCAATTGAGGATTAGAAAAGATATAGCAAAGTGAAGGCTGAAGGACTCTGAATGGTGCCTTAAAGCATGTGATATAAACGATGCTCTTGGGGGTTGTCTTTAAACAGTTAAAAATGGTTAAAAAGATAAATATTTTAGCTTAATCAACTATGTTCAATGTAATGTAAGCATTTTAGACTAACACTTATACAAGCTGATGTTGGGGGTTTAGTTAGTAGTGGTTTTCTTTCCTTTCTCCTTAGATGTAGATGTTCCCTCCCTATTTTTTCATTGTAGTTTGTAATTTATAGAAAATGCAATAAAAATTCCCTCTGGGGGGCAAAAAAAAAAAGAGAGAATTCTGGAGAACTCAAAAACTTGCCCTCTGTTTTGTGACACTTGGTTGGTCCTAATAGTTACTCTGTGTTCTATGGCTGTTCTTGCACCTTCATGTGGCTATAATCTAACTTCACCAGGAAAGGCGGGGAGAGAGATAAATTCTTTGCCTTTTTCCAGGAGGAAGGGCCATTAATACTGTAAGGGTGTTAATATTTTAAGCATGTCTGTATGTTGAGCAAAAAAATAATATCTTTGATTTTGTTTGCCTGTGTCCTTTATATAAAGCTTATATCTCCGGTATCTGGCATTACATTTTAAGGGCACACATGGCCCAGCCCGACAGAGTGACATTTATGTCAGGTCCAGTCCTCGTAACGAATTAGGTCGACACCTCGATCTGTGTGGAAAACTACAGAACAACAGTTTGTGTACTTATAGTTTGACAATACCATACTGGGAGGCAGCCAACTGGCAAGTCCCCATAGATGCTCAATTCACTGATCTACTTCTCGCTCCTATTTTATGCCTAAGAACTATCTAACCTCTGCAATGGGCTCAGTATTCTAAATATTGATACTCACCACCAGCCGGCCAAACAACACAAACTTGTACTTTCCAGCTCATGGCAAACAATGGCCAGTCCTTCTGCGTGCTTCGGATTTACTATTTTGCGGCACGGAAAGGTCATGTGACAAAGCAGGCTGGGTAGTCTAAAGCAGAAGGGAATGCTAGGGGGTTGGAATTGTTGACTTCAGCCAGAACCTGACTACAAAAACCTGTCATGGGGTGTTGGCTGCAAAAAGCAATTGTCATCTAAAAATAAGCAGTGTGCCATAATTTTCTAAACTGATAAAAAAAATGTAACAAACTTATTGCATTATTTATGAGATATAAAGGCTCTATTTAGTTTTAAAGCAACATGTTCTATGATCGTAGCAACCAGTTAGCATGCGCTTTCACTTATGAAGTATTTAAATAGAGATGTTTGAGTAAAACAAGTTTGGGTTATTTTCTTGATGATTTGACTCTCCTTATTTAAATCAATCCATCCCAATCAGCCACCAACAGGGAAGCAGCTTGTCCTATCCTTGTCTTCCTATATTAGACCAAAGGCTGAACTGCTAAGTAGCAGTTTCTATTGGCTGCTACTGCTTGTACACCCTGATCTTCCAGGGCTCTTTTTGTAGCAGGAACTCCTTTGCATATTAGGTGACACACCCCTAATGTAGCCAATCCTCCAAGAGCTTACAGAGCTCTTCTTACTGGGGCTACTGGAAGCTCTTGGAGGATTGGCTACGTTAGGGGTGTGTCACCTAACATGCAAAGGAGTTCCTCCTACAAAAAGAGCTCTGGCAACGAAATACAGATCACCTCCCCCAAACTATGCTGATATAGTGTCAGGATATTCCACTCTTGGAAAGGAAATTCCAAAGGAATAGTTGTGTGTTTCTACAAGACACCCGTGCTCTAGGGATAAGGCCAGAAAGAAGGAAAGAGGATGCTAATGGCTTTGACGCATCAGAAGTCCTGACATCTGAACAAACTATGCTCTATGAAGGTAGCAGTGTCACTTTCCAGATTAACCACCACATACCTGCAAGGCTAAATCTCCACCTTATTTGGTACACTCTTCTCAGACTAGATTATTAGCAAAGGTTATTTCTTGGAAAGGCAACCTTCAGAAACAAATGATCAACCAAATACGATTTGGAGCTATTTGCCATAATGATGGATTGTGTGCAGCTCTCATTCCAGAACGCCTATGGGGATATTTGAAGATCTATCTCTGTGCTTCATTTGTTCCACAATGGACCTGGACACTAGTGAAAGAACTATTATAGCTTAGTCTAGACAGGAAATTGAGTCCCTCTTATCTGACACTACAGTGATCTATTGGTACCAACCCTCGAAAAACTGGTGCATGCCCACACAAGCCATTCACTACATAGCTGCCTAAGACTACAGTTGCTGCCATCCTGGCCCAGATGAGGGCTGCAGCTGCAAGTGGGTTGGCTATCCCCACACCAGAGTTATACCAGCAACAGGCACCAGGTTGTATCCACCCAGTTTTCTGATTCAATTTCACCTAATTCCATACTCTACTACAGCCACTGTACCGCAAGACTTTTGTCCATGCAGGGTCCCATGATCCATAATACAGTCTTTTGGGTGGTCAAGAGGGACCTCCTCCTCCTCCCCGTCCCATGGGGCATTGCCACAAGCCAGCAGAGTACAGGGGGAGGGTTACAGCTGGATTCCTATAGTGCTGCCACCCTCCTGCTCCTCCCAAGGCAGTTCCTCTTACTACTTCGTCGAAAGGCATTGCAAGCACTTTGAGCATCCTCTCAATAAGCCTCGCAAGAGCCCTGTAAGACAGAGCTGTCTCATTACTCTCCTGCAGCTCAATGGGAGGCGGACGCTGAGACAGCAGCCACTTGCAAAAGGACACCCAGAGAGTTCACAGCAGAGGCTTTAAAAAAAAAAGCCATCAGAGTAGAGCTGGGCAAACAGCAAGGAGTATTTTTTGGAGCAAATATTTTTACCTTTCTCAATATAGTTCTTAGGTGCCCAAGCAGGATCGCCATCGGCATACGGATCATTATACTGCACGACTGCAGCCTCCTCGTCTTCATAATCCACGGGTGGTGGAGGCGGCGGGGGCGGCGAGTCATCAAACATCGGCATCTCGTCTGGCGGAGGAGGCGGAGGCGGAGTCGGACTATCAGCAACTAGAAAAGTCAATGGAAACAGGAGTTCAGTCAGCTTCCTTGCAAACGCAAAGAAATGCATTACCGGGGCAGCACATTTTCTACAGAAAACAAACAGCATGCAGTTACAATACCATGCATGGATTAGAAACAAAATGCGGCGTTATGTTAAACACTACAAATTTACGGCTGTACACGTTACTAGCAGCCACAGACTAGAGAGATGCTACTGTCAAAGCACACACGCCAAGGCAGAAGCTGATCGCTAGCAGGAATCAGAAGGGATATTGGCTCCATTACTTTCTTGCTCCTTGTGCCAAAAAGATATCATAGACGTTCGTATCAGAAAGAAGGTTGCTGAAGGTTGCAGCCCAGCAGTAAAGACGGCATGCTGGTGCTTTCAGGGCTATTCTGTTAGTTTGTTTTTGGTTCTGAGTTAAAAGGAATTCCAGGCAATCAGAGAGCCACTAGTGAGGACAAAAATTCTGGCTCCCACGGTTGCACAGTGATAAAAGGAAGACAAGGGAATCTGCATCACCGCCTGAAGACCAAGTAACAGAAGACAACGGAAGGTGCAGAGAGCCCACCCTGCAAGGTTCAGGGGACTTCGCTACAATTCTGCAATTTGAACGACAGGTTTTCTGTGGCTACAGTTCAAGCAAGACTGTGTATCCTCCTTCAAGTATCACAACAGCTATCTAATTAGAGCTCCTCTCCCCGCCCCCTCTTAAAGTGACCAGTAAAGCATTTTGAAGGCTCATGCTCAGAAGGATAAAAATTTAAGTCCACCTGATCAAAAAATCCACCTATATTTATACGCACATACACACACACACAAATCTCAAATGTATTTGTATTAAGCATAGCATATGATGTCATGAATGCCAGTAGGGTATGGACACTAGACTGAGGGGTCAAAGTGAAGCATTTTAAAGGCCTGATTATACAAACGGAGAGAAGCCAGGTATGTGTTTAATTCTATCACTAAAATCAATGGCCCTTTAACAGTGTACCTTTGATACTTCTTAATCCTGTTCAGTTTTCTGTTTCCCCCCCCCAAGTCAGTTAACAGCTGTTCCAGACTCCTTTCTATATACATAGTACTCTGAATCCTATTCAATCTAGAACCTAAATCTAGCTCAACATCTGAATTCAGCTAAGTGCAAAGTAGTGCATGTTTGTGTGCGTGTGTGTGTGTGTGGGGGGGGGTTCTGTGGAAGATGGTTAGAAGATAACCAGTGAAGTTCAGTGGGAATTCTTCTACCACAAGCTCTCTTGAATTGTCACAAGAAATAACTATTTCAGTGCAAAATAAAGAGCTATTCCTGGTGGCCTGCACCCTAGATGTTATGGCCCTGATCCATTTAACAATAAACAGGCATGCACACAAACAAAATGGACTGGATCCATTTTGTACGGGAATAGCAAAGGGGCTGTAAGAAAAACTATTTTCCATTAAGTTTCTTTAGCTTCAGAGGAAAAAAGAATGCTATTAAGAATCAAGTATCTCAGTTAATGGAAATATTTGTGCATAAAACCACACCTGGTTTTATTGAATGGTGTTTTTTTAAAAAAAACACTAGAAACCAATGAAACCTTTCTAATAACAACTATAACTCAGCTATAGCATGTAGCTGTAAGCACATACCTGGCTTACAACCCCCCCAAAAAACTCAGGTTAACATAACTGAGAAGACCAGAAGAAGCCATACAGTAAAACTAATGCCTCCATTCCCTCCATTGAATGAGTGAAATTTTAACTGCTTAATTTCAACACGGCATTAACAGCTTCAGTTTGTTTTCTATTTATTAAGTGTTTTAAGATACTGTAGGAAGAAATGTGGGACTGGCTGGATTAATCCGAAACATGAAATGGATGCCTTCATACATAACTGCTCCTTAAGAGTAGAGCAGAGCCACAGTCAATTTCAGGTTTGCATATGAATTTAACATGAGCCAGTAAGACTCTCTTTGCTGCTCTGAATGCTGGAATCAGCTTCAGGAAGCTCCGGAGAAGTTTAACCCATCTATGACAGGGACACATTACTGTCAAAAAGAGGGCAGGAGGCTTCTCAAGGTATGCAAAGATTTCACCATCGCCAAAAGCAGAGTCCCATGGCACCTTAGAGACCAACCAGATTTACATGGTATAAGCTTTCGAGAGTAAGATCACGCTGGAATCAATATCTGACAAAGGAATTTGACTCTCGAAAGCTTATACCCCAGCCCTGACTTGCATAGCGCAGACAAGCCCGATCTCGTCAGATCTCAGAAGCTAAGCTGGGTCGACTCTGGGAAGTGCTTGGATGGGAGACCTCCTCGGAATACCAGAGGTGGGAGGCAGGGGCAGGCTTTATTCAGCCACCTCTCTGAATATCCGCCAGGCCCCCAGTAGAGGTCAGTCACCAGAGGTCTCCATGGCTTCCAGGTGCACACACTCACACAAGAAAAAAAAATACAATAAATACCCCCCTGCATGGGCCAAAAAAAGCTTATACCTTGTTGCTCTCTAAAGTGCTGCTGGACTCAAAACTTGCTCAATCAACACTGTCCATCTAAAAGTGTGCTGACCCCCTGTTACCAACTTAGTAGCTGCAGAGGAGAAAGAGGTGCCTGTAGCAAGACTCTGTGGTAATGCCCTCCTGCCCCTCTCAGAGGCCCTCAACGAAAACTAATTTGTGACCAGGATTCTAAGGTTCAGTTCAATATGGCTTCATCCGGGTTAAGAATCCTAGTAGCAAGGAAGGACGGTTGTTCAGGGGGTTGACTTTTAGGCACCTTGACTAACTGCAGTTAGTTGAAGACTTGCCACCTTCAGTCTCGGCAAGGTGAGACAGGAGAAGGGAGAAAATGCACAAGCCCAAACATCTAATGACCTCTGTGCCAGTCACAAACAAACGGGCATTTGTTTGCGATGTCTGATGCAGCATAACTCTTGCTATGATTCGAGAGCCATTACCGTTGTTTTATTGTATCACGGTGCCTATTTATGCCCTACATAGCACTGTGATACAACTAGCGTATTTCCCACGCACTTCTAAAAACAACGTATACATGTAGTTTTTAATGTGCTGTTTTTACATCATCTCTCCTAGTTCAAGCGGTTTTCCCTATTGCTCCCCAGGCAAGTGGCGCACAAATGACTTCAGCCAGCACCTAAGTGCATCAACAACTTGCAGGTAACGAGCTGAGGGCCGACTGAGAAGTGATGTTAGGCATGATAGAAAGGACTGCCCCGCTATTGTGTCTGACCACCTTTATGTTTAAATCAGCCCCCCCAGCCTCTAGTGCACAGCATTAACATGCCAGTAAAGATCCCTGGAATGCTAATGCTGTACTGTGTACAGGAGAGGCATCAAGAAGCCCTCCACAAGAGACACCTGATGGTTAAGGTTTTCCTGCATGGCTCAGATCACACAAACTAGTCCTAAACGCACCCCCCCCCCGCCTACATGTTGCCTGCAAATCACAAATTAAAAGGATTCTAAGTTATTACATCTGTACTTGGGACATTTTGTTTGATGCCCTTTCATATTTTCTCATAAATCTTTGAGCTGCAGTTTGGATCCAACCAGCTTTTCATCTGGTCAAAAAAAGGAAGGCGAGGTGACCAGCAATAAAGGCTACGCTGAGGACCCTGGGACCTGCCCACATAAATGTTGTGAGGGACTGGAGCTGTAGTAAGGAGGCAACTTGGGCAAGATCATAAGGAAATACTGGCTGGATCCATCCCAGTGAGTCAACGGGGTATATGCATACCTTAAACTAGTTTTCAAATTTCCTTCGTTCAAAACCATTGTGGGGATTACTGGAAGAGCATTTGAAAATGGAACTTGCCTACGGCACATTCCTGTTCCATTTGTTTTATTTAAACTAGTGTCCTGCTAACTCTGTAGACTGCATTTTGGACTCTCCCCCAAAAAAATCAACTTTTGGATAGAAAGTTAAGAGACGCATGGATTGTGGCAAAATGATCAGTAAGAACCAATGCTAATTTTTTTATGCTTGAAACTAAACCGAGGAGAAGGTGCTCTTCTGTTCCAAGTTGGGCCTAGAATACAAAATGGAATTAGCATCTCAAGTTTGGACACCGATAAGGAAAAGGGGGGGAAAAAACAGAGAAAGGAGTCTGATTGGCCAGCCATGCATGCTAGAAGAGAGAATCAGCTCTACTCGTTGGAGAAGCTGAGCGGCCAAACTTACTGTTTTCCTGAACCCTGGCCACGAAGCCTGTGAGAGGTATCTGTGGAGTCAACTGAGGCATAGGGGGAGGGGGCGGAGCAATAGAAACTGGAAGCAACAGACACCATAATAGGGAAGTAAAAACATACAGGAAAAAAAGGAAAACAAACAAACAAAAGCAGCTGTCAGTAACAATGGACTACAAAACAAGATATGCAATGAACAACAGAAACCAACACGGCAGGACCTCCTTCAAGTTTGCGTTCCCAATAACACAATCATCACCAAGCCCAATTTTTAGCCAACTTGCAACTCCCCGGAAAAGGAAAAAGGAACCAAAAAACCCCCCCTAAGGATTCCAGTTAAAAAATAGCTTCCTACTTCCTTGATCTAACCGAGTTCCTTAAGAATGAATTCCTTAAGAATGCTGTTTTCAGCTTTAAAATCCAGATGTTTCAAAGTCTTACAGTAAAGCTCCAGATCCTGTTGATCCATCTTTGCCAGCTGAGGTGGTTTCCTCTCACCAAAGGCGCCTCCCAGACACCCTTGCTAACAGAAGGGATCCACAGGGATCGACTCAAAGTTGCAGGGTGAGGCTGGGAACTTGTGATTATTATTTTTTTAACTCACTGAAGCAGATCTTGCTGTAAAATCACAGGAGAAAGGGAAGGAAGGAATATGGGAGGGATCATAGTTTGCAGAGTCATGAAACACAAAAATCAGGGAACTGGCAATGGTTTCACGATTGGCCCTCAAACCATAAATGTTTTCTTCCAGCTGATTTCTGAGTGAAACCTGGATTGTGGAGGGTGATCACGTGGAGGCTGCCGCCAGGTGGAATACCCAGCCTTTCCGCCTAAGATAGGGCTTCTTGCTTGTCTTATTGTTTCTGTGACTTACAGAATACCTTGATAATGGCTTTTAGAACAGTGATTGATTTTAATAGATGGTGTGTGTGTGTGTTATTCTACCTCCGACAATTTAACATGAAAGGATACTTGCATTAAAAAGTTGGCTTATCCCTCAAAATAGCCTTGCCTCAACTAATCAGGCAAGCCAGAGTATTTCACAGGATGTATTTATTGCCCACTATTGGCATTCCAGTGACATCAAAATGACAAAGGACAACGCTTCCTGGCTTTCAAGCTTCATAAATAATTACTCCAGCATTCTGAACACTCAGCCTTCAAGAACCGTACATAAAAACTTTGCACTTTCAACAGGCATCAAAGGGGAAAAGGCCTCGCGCTGTTGACCTGGCAACGGAGAGACTCTCAGAGAACCAATAACTAGATTTTAAGGGCAGCCAGTGCCTTCTGGTGTAAAATGTGACAACAGCATATGTCACACAACACTAAAGGATTCAGTTTTAGAGTGGCCTCTATGATAGCTTCTATTCATAGATCAAATTGCCTACCTTCCTTTGAGTTATGAAGATTGGCTTTAAAAAGGGATTAGACAGATTAGTAATGGGGAAAAGGTCTATCAATGACTACTAGCCGTGATGACTAAAGGTAACCTCTGAATACCAACACTAGGGGGCAGCATCATGGGGAGTGTATCAAACCGGCTTTTTTCAGCAGGGAAACAGGGTGGAATCGCAAGTTTGAAACAGGTTCTGCACTTTGAAGTATGCACTAATCTTAAACAAAACCATAATTCAGTCTTTACAAATAAATTCTAGCACTTCGGTCACTTCAGAGCAACCTAGCTTTCCCATATATCAATGTAACTTTAGTGGTCTGCTTTGTACAAATTTTGTCTAAATTTTTTCTCTCTGTCCCTCTTGCATATACATGTACCTGTGTAATAGAAAGTGTATTTGCTTGCTGGCAATAAAAAAATGCAGACCAATCAAAGTGGGAAATGAGAAAATCATACATTTTTACAAGGATAAAGACAAATTAAAATTAGAGGGATTTTTTTTTAAGTACGGCAGGCAATGTGCGTTTAGAACTTGTGCCCCTGTTCAAATAGTGCCTGAATGTTAAAGCATGACACTGCAACAAACCTCACACAATTTGGACACTTAATGAGGTTGCGCTGACTGAAAGTGACACAGTTGCTTCCTTTTACAGTCATACATCCCTGGCTGTAGTTTTTCCTTAAAAGGCTCTCTGCCCACTAGCTTATTGACTATTTCTCAAAACTGCACTGGTTACTTCATTGTAACTATGAGACTGTTGCAAATGAGACTGAAATGAAGTAAGACTAATAAAGAAAGAAAAAAAGCCTGGAGTTTTTCCATGCAATTTCCTCTGCAGTGAATAACCATCTGTGTAAAATGGAACAGGGATAATTACTCCTGCTTTAAACACCACTTCTTTCAAATGACTCCTTGTAGATTTCCACCTGAGGACAGGCTTGTGCGGGTTCCCCACTGCTGGTGTGGCTGCCGATAAAACGCAGCAGCAACAGCAGGGCTTCCAAATGGCAGGTTTCCCTACCCCGGTTCCCTGCAGGGGTCCCCGCTTTCTCCCAGACCTTTTCAATTTTATTTAAAAATTAGCAATTTAATATTATTATACATACTGATATAACATTATCAATATATCAGAATCTCTGGCCCTTTTCATTGCAGAGCTGTGCCTTCCTGTTTTTATCCCTGCAACAAAAGGGGCCACAGACTTTATTTAAATTTAAAGCTGAGAATTAAGAGAACCTGAAACAGTGTTATATTGATATGATATTAAATTGCCGATTTAAAAAGGCCCTCAGTGGCAGGGGGAGGAAGTGTCCGCTGTGGGGATAGGCTCAGGGGAAATGGCTGTAATGCAGTTGTGAAAACCTGAACTTTCCTGCCCACATACCATTCATCCAGGCTTTACTGAGATCTGTCCCAAAACTCTGCAGCAAAGCAGGCTTCAGAAAGATCGGGGGAAAGCTGGGGAAAGCTGGAAGATGCACGAATGCACCATGATGGTGTGGGGAAGAAGGGAAATAAAACTTCCCAACAACACAGAATCGAGGGCAAATAACCCATGTAAAGAAATGGCCCTTGTTCGGTTAGATATATAGGCTTGGATCCAAGCTGAAGCCTTTTCACTGAAAGAGGGTATCTCCGATTTCCACCAGCTCCACCCCTCCCTCCAGCTGTAGTCCTGTGGGTCGCACTTAACACTCTCCTGGAAGCTCCCACCCCCAACATTCAGGAACAGCTTTGGGAGGAAGCCCCGATAACTGCAAGAGAGAAGAGATAGGAAAGCCCCACTGCACAAGTGGAATTCCACTGGCACCTGTTTAGGACCCAAGCTATCGTGTATATTGCCCTTACTGGATCACTAATAACACAAAAAAACCAAGCCACCTTCAAAATCAGTTTGCACAGGAGCTCTGTGCTCTGCAGTAACCCAGGAAGCTTACTTGAATTTTGGGAATAGAGAGGCCCGCCGTTAACATGAGGTTGAGCAGAAAATGGAGCCGTCACAGAAGGATTCCGCCTAAATCCACCAGAAGAGGTCGAAGAAGTAGTAGAGTTGTGTCGGGAAATCTGCCTGGTCATTGTGCCATACTGGGAACCAGGGGCTGACCCAGGAGCAGCTGAAAAGCAGGAGCCAAATGGAACCAAACAAGAAGACTTAAACAAACAAACAGAAAACCCCAATTCTTAAGACAGAGGGCAGAAAACCAGGGGAGAAATGTTAAGACCACCACGGCACAGCACACTCATGAAAGCCAAATCCCCAGTAGTACTGACAGTCCACAGAGCAGAAGATTGGAAAAAGAGGCCACTGGAAATATGATGGGAGGAGGAGAGTTCCATCCTGACTTATATATATGCTTTTCTTAGGACTTTAACAGAGATAATGATTTTAAAAATATAAACACTGACAAAAACCAACCCTTGAGGTGTTCAGAGATACCACAGCCACTTATCTGCTGCAAGAGAAGTCCTTTTACAGGGAATTAATTGAACAAATATAGCAGCAATAGTTTCTAAATAATCAAGGGAAAAGAAAATAAAATACGATGGAAACAATTTCTTGGAATTTGCTATAAAAACTATTATCTGTCAGAAATTCATCAAGCTTTTATTTTTCAGTAGCAGGGACCCTGCAGGATGAAGACGTCTTCAAGAGTCACACAGATAAGTTCAGCCTCTTATTCAAACAATGAACTCCCAACGATTAAAAAAAGGAGAGGAGGTTCCTGAACTCTTCTCATCTACAAGAAGAGGCAGGCAGTCCGGCAGAGAACTCTCAACATTAACAAATTAGAGCCATCCGTAGCCTTCCGTACTAATCCAAAATGTCTCAGTGTTGGTTATTTGCTAAGTTTCACATCGTGAAAGATAAAAAAAAAAACCAAAACAGGAATTTGCACCTAGAAAGCGCTATATAAACAACGAAGATAATCGGCTGTTGTGTCTATTCACAGTTCTGCTTCGTAGCTGAGATGATATAACACTTAATGCTTTCGATCCAAAAATGGAGCTATGTCGCTTGTAGCTCATTTGCTAATGCAAAAGTTCTTTCCAGTGTTAAGGCAGTTACAGTGCTGAAATAAAATGTTGTCACTTACACACCTGTGTTGGTGGGTACAAATATATTATCAACATACTATATTATTGTTCAAAATCTAGTTCACAATATGGAACTAAAGACAAAGTTTGCAAGTCTTTTCTGGGTCAAAGCCTCTCAAGTTAGTAGACAAAATGCAGTCTACTGCTATCTACCTGCACAATAGACTGCATCGTCTATTGTACAGGTAGATCACGAACAACTTAAACATTTATTTTTACATCGGCAGTACACACCAGTTTGCGTAGAGCCATTTCTGCTTTTAATGTCTGGGAAACCAAATAGTGCCAAAGACCAACGGAAATTTCGTCTTTCCACAGAACCATCTTGGAGACCATTAGACTCCTTTCACTTCCAGTACCCATGTAGGCAATGCCCTGTGTCGTTTAATTGAATTCTGCATCCTGTATTGTGATCTGTGGCAAGCCTTTGGACTACCGGGTAAGAGACTGAGGACATATAAGAACATAAATACAGAGGATCACTGGTCAGGTATGCCCTAGATATCCTGAATGTACACTCCTGTTTTGTAAATGACACACAAGAGTAGACCACAGGACTTTAGATAAAAAGAAGGATAAATAACGAGTGGAGTCAGCCCTACTCTGATAAATTTGAAAAATATGCTTTGCATGCAAATAATATACTTTGCACAAATTTGATCCAAGTTTAAGTTTGCAATAAGTCTTATTAAAAAGACCTCCGGTAGTAGGGCTGGAGAAGACCTGTCTGATACCTGGGAGAATTGCTGTGCCACAGTAGACAATACTAGACCAGACGGAACAAGAATCTTGCTTAATGAAAGGCAGATTCATTCATTTATATCTAACCTTCAGAGGCTTTCACCACAAATATTAGCTGTGATTAGATTGGTTAAATCCCCAACTTGTCAGGGGTCTACCACGTCAACAGAATGAATAAAGTCATTAGATGGAAAAGGGTTACTGCAAATACACTTATTCCAGCACTCTCAAAAGGTCTCACCTATCATACTGCCAGTCACGAGAGGCGGGGGCATTGGTGGTGCTGGTGGTGCTTCAGGAGGAGGAGGAACAAATATTTGTGCTAATAAAATAGTTGAGATTGCCAAGTTAGGCCCCAGTTTAGAGCAGAAACATTTTTGTTTTGACAATGTAGTAATTCAAATTCCAGCTTACAAAACGGTGCTGGTTGTTTGTGAACAGGTAAAGAACGGATCACCCACTATGACTGGGCCAGTGTGTGTGCTAACGGAAACACACTGCAGCAGGTATTATTATTTTTTTACTACATTGCCTTCTGATTTTGTAATCCACTTTTGAATCTCAATTAAAACGTTGGGCTATAAACAAACAAACAAGCTTTACAACTCAGTAAGGGCGAAATGAAGGACTAGACCAAGAAGGCGATTCAACAGCAGCAGCCGCCAGAGTTTCAGGTCAAACCGAACTCACCACTTCTCTCCTGTTCTGAGTAAGTGGTATACTACCACTACACTGATGTAGTTTCTATTGGTCTTAAAAAGGAAGTGAATATCGTAATTGTCCCTAAGAATTTTGACCGCTACATCCATATTTAGAGGAATCCCAGATGACGGCTAATTCAGCAGCACTTGCAACCATGCTTGGTTGGGTCCTACTACTTTAGTTCATCAGTACCCATGTGTTCCTCTAGTACAGTGGTGGCGAACCTATGGCACGGGTGCCAGAGGTGGCACTCAGAGCCCTCTCTGTGGGCACGCGTGCCATCGCCCCAGCCAGGCCCAGACCATCATTAAAGTGTCAAATTCTCTGCCAAATAATTTTAAGTAAATGAAAGCATTTGGGATTGCTTTCCTTAAGTTTGTTTGGATTGTCTTAAGTTAATGTAGAAATAAAGTTTCTAAAGTAAAACCTCGGTATTCAGGTTAAATTGCCGTGTTGGCACTTTACGATAAATAAGTGGGTTTTGGGTCGCAGTTTGGGCACTCGGTCTCTAAAAGGTTCGCCATCATGGCTCTAGTACAAGGCATCTTTCACTGAATAAGACATTGCACCTTGCGCCAAAGAAGCACACATGAAGCTGCCTTAGACCGAAATCAGACCATGGGCCCATCTACTCAGACCAGCAGCAGCTCTTCAGGGTGTTAAATAAAGAAGAAGAAGAAGACGAAGACGAAGAAGACGAAGAAGACGAAGAAGACGACGA